AATAAAAATCTTAAAAAAAAAATAAAAAGTTTTCTTGTGATAATTTTCTTGTGATTATTTGCCATCTGTATACCCTCTGTTGGTGAAATGACTGTTCATGTCATTTGTCCATTTTCTAGTTGGAGTATTAGTTTTTTTACTGTTGAATTTTGAAAGTTCTTAGTTTAGATGATAGTCTTTTGTTGGATGTTTGATTTACAAATATTTTCTCTATCTGCAACTTGTCTTTTTAACTTCTTAGACTGTTTCACAGTAAAGTTAATTTTGATGAAGTCCAATTTATCATTTTCCCTGTGTGGATCATGCTTTTGGTATAAAGTGTCAACACTCTTTCCATAGCTCTTGATTGTGAAGATTTTCTCCTGTGTGTTTTTTTTTTTTTTTTAAGCTGAGCCATCCTGCCACCTGTTAGCAGCTCTGCGGCTGCTCAGCTCGGGCCGGGCATCGCACCGCTGTTGCTCAGAGCTCAAACTCTTGAGTGAGCTCTTAACCAACTGAGCCACTCGGCCAGCCCTTGATTTTCTCCTATGTTTTTAATAAAAGTTTTATAGTTTCACATTTTACATTTAAATCCATGATCCATTTTGAGTTAATTTTCATCTAGGTTGTGAGGTTTAGGTTGTGGTGGTGGTGGTTCTTCTTCGTCTTCATCTTCATCCTCGTCTTCTTCCTCTTCCTCTTCTTCGTCCTCCCTCCCCTTCTTTTGCCTATGGATGTTCAGTTGTTCCAGCACCATTTGTTGAAAAGGCTTCTTTTTTTCACGTTTATAAAGTAAGAGTTGGGCATATTTGTGTGTGTGTTTTGGTTCTGTCTGCTGTTTCATCAATCTATGTGTCTTTTCCTCTGCTAACACCACGCTGCCTTGACTACTGTAGTTATGTAATAGGCCTTCATGTTAGATGGAGGGATTCTTTCCACCTCATCATTTTTCAAGATTGTTTTAGCTCTTCTGGGCCTGTGCTTCCCATATAAATTTTAGAATAAGCTTGTCTTTATCTACAAAGATCCTTGCTAGGATCTTGGAATTGCTTTAAACCTGTAGAATAATTTAGGAAGAATTGACACCTTTACTATATAGTAAGTCTTTTCTTTTTTTTTTAATATATATATATTTTTTAATTAGAGAATATGGGGAGGGGAACAGCCAAGTTGTTGTCCTTCAATGTTAGTTGTGGAGGGTGCGGCAAGCTCAGCCCCAGGTCCAGTCGCGCCGCTCAGTTCAAGGTGCTGTGTTCAATTAGTTGGGGTGGGCATAGCCACCATTCCATGCCGGAGTCGAACCAGCTGCCTTGTTGTTAAGAGCGCATGCTCTATCCACTGAGCCACCCGGGTGGCAGCTCAGCTCAAGGTGCCGAGTTCAGTCTTTAGTTGCGGACGGGCATAGCCCACCATCGAACAGGCAAACTTGTTGTTAGGAGCACGTGCTCTCACCAGCTGAACCATCCTGCCACCTCTTGGCAGCTCAGTGGCAGCTCAGCTTGGGTATAGCTCACTGGCCCATGTGGGAATTGAACCGGCGACTCTGTTGCTCAGAGCTCGCACTCTTGAGCAAGCGCTTAACCAACTGAGCCACTAGGCTGGCTGGCCCCCTATAATAAGTCTTTTAGTCCATGAATATATGTTACTATTTGTTTAGCTCTTTGATTTCTTACATAAGCATTTTGTAATTTTCAGCAAACGGATTTCATACATATTTTAAGTGTATACTTAAGTATTTAAATTTCTTTGGAGTAATTGTAAATGGTATTGTTTTAAATTTCAGTTTCCACATGTTTATCGTTAGTATGTAGAAATGTGATTGATATTTAAGTGTTCATGTTGTCTGTTGACCTTGCTGAACTCAGTAGTCCTAGGAGTTTTTGTAGATCTTTAGTAGCATTTTAAGATTTGTTTTGAAGTGTTTCATCTTTTTTCTTTTTCTCTATTGTGAAGTATTAGTTTCTTCCATAATAAACAAATATTGTGGGCTTTTTGGATGAAGGCTGTTGATATATATATTTTATACCCAATCACTTTGATGAATTTTCTTATTATAATTTTTTTCAGTTGATTCTTTTGGATTTTATAGCTCAAGTGTCATACCTATAAATAGTTACAGTTTTATACTCCTCATTTTCCCCTCTTGTTTAATTATCTAAAACCTCCAGGTCAGAGTTAAATAATGGTGATAAAGGACATCCTTGTCTTACTTCTAACTTTACCTTAGACTCTTAGAATTGATTGCTCTGGATTTCGATGCATTGCATCCTAGTAGGAATTCATTTTATCATTAGAAAGAATGCAAATAAAAAATATATAGTAAATTGCAGTTCTCCCCAGCTTTTTTGGGATTGGGGTGTTTTGTTTTGTTAAATCTTTGGGAAACTGAGGGTTGCCATAAATGCTTTTCCCTTAAACAAGTCTATTGTTGAAACTAAAATATATTGGTAGGCCTTCCTGCTTTAGTATATGTAAAATGGTGAATATAATTCAATTTCTTTGATTGAAGATTTTACAGTGCCTTATTTTTGTTCATTCTTCTTTACTCGTAAATTTAGAAAACGTTGTTGATAGGACTATCAGAGTATGTTGATCTCAGACCTTTCCTGGAAATTAAAAAAAATTTTTTTTTAAGGAGAATCCTTTACACATTTTTTTGGGAAAACTTAATTTCTTGTCATTTGCTTTTTGTTTCTAACAGAGCATTCCATTTGCATTCTCATAAATGAGCAACACTCCTCCACACACAGCTGCTTATGAGAAGTTCAGTGTGGTCATATTTCAAGGCTAGTTGGCAGAAAGCTTTATTCTACTTGCTACGCTTGAGATTCTGATTCTCTAGTTTACTTTGCCATGTAAACCAATTGACTTTATGGTTTTCCACGTAAGAAACGTCCAAACTTGTAGAGAATTTTTATGAGTTTATTTAAGTCAAACTGATGACAGTTGCAGGGAAGCAAGATCTCAGATACTTCAGAAAATGAGTTTCTTTTATACCTTTAGAATTAAGGAGGGAACTAAATAAGGAAGATTACATGAAGGTGGGAGAAAGCAAGCTATAGGATCGTTAACTAGATTTTGTGCTCTTAGAGAAGTGTCTAAAAGAGAATTACTTCTTGCATTTCAAAGGTGTGTTAATCTGGATGCACAGAAACAGTGGACAGGGCTGCTTGAGGCAAAGATAAGCCTTTATTAAAGAAGTTACATGCCTGGGGCGTGACTACCCACCATGACCTGCCCAGTTAGTAATTTATGATCAGATCAACCTGTGAAGTTACTTTCCATCACTAGACTTGTCAGTTTTATTACAGCACCCCTGTTGGGTCCACAGGTTCAAGGTTTTTTTTTTTTCTTCTTTTTCCCTAGTCTTAATTTTTTTGAGTAGAAAGCACATGAACTTCATGAGGGCCAGAAAGACTGGGTATAAATCCCAGCCTGCTTCTCTTTATAGACTAATAGCCTTGAATAAATTACCTAATCTCTGAGCCTCACTTTCCACATCTGTAAAATGGGGGGTAAAATACCTCAGAAAGCTATATGTATGTAAGGATTATGTGAGATTCCACATGTATGTAAATTCTGTGGTACAGAATTTAACTTTGATGAGCTACAATAAATGTTAGCACCCTCTTCCCTGAAACAAAATGAAATGGTGGGTGTGAAATAGCTTTGCGAGCTATGAATAAATTGATATAAATCATTAGCATTGTTCTCTCTTCAGAATTGGGCATTAATAGCATAGTTTATAATCTCAGTATTATAATATGTTTTCTCAGACCCTTATGTGATATGCACATGCCTAGGTTTGGTGATCTTTTAAAGTTTTGTGTTTGTTATTACTCCAAAAACTTGAAAACCGTTAGAGAAATCCTCAGCAAACTCACATGATTTATGAAACTAACAGACTAATTCTTAGTTTAATTAGAATTCTTGGGCTAATATTCTTAGTCTTGTGTGCCTGTCTATGTGAACACTAAATATACCTTTTATTTTCTTTTATGGTATCCGGGCCCTCCCACTTGGCCCTGCTCCTTTCCTCCAGTAAGGACTTTGAATCCCATGGGATTTATGAGCCTAACATGTACCCTGGCTTCTTCCTGTTTTAGTATTTCTAGTTGGAGTGCCTGTGATAATAACCTTTTTTGGGTATGTAACGAAATGTCTAAAATAAGCTTTTGTACTATGAGACTTGAAATATTGAACTCCTAGGCAACTTACTGCCGTCCAATTTAGAGAGAGATTGATGATTTCTGAAAGTGTTTTTACCACTTAACATTTAAATACCATCTATCAAATATTAAAAATTTATGTGCAGAGCACTTTCTGGGAACTCACAAGGATGTAAAAGTATGCTGTGGTCCTGAGTTTCTATTGAGATGTCAGACATTAAGCAGCTTAAATGCAAAACATTACCAATAACATGCTGTATAAGTCAGAGATTTTGTCCTATTTATTGCGTACGAAGTATGGTGAATTTTGGTTTCCTCACCTGTGAAGTAGAAATAAAAATACCCTATAGGGTCATTATGATGTTTAAATGAGATTGGATATGTAAAACCCAGGTATAATGCATAAAATCCACATATATTCTTTCTGCAGTTAGGTATGTTTTTAATTGAAAAAGTAATGTATGGTATATGGCAAAAATATGCAGGTAGAGCAAAATGAAAAGTACATTTTCTCACTCCAGACCCTCGATTTATTTCCTATATATTTCTGTACCAAGAGTACAATTTTGAATATTTCCAATAATTATTCTGTGTACATATACGATTATATATCTTTATAATATAATTTATAAAATATATACATGTTATCTTAATCCTGCCTTTTTCATTTAAAAATAGATTTGACAATCTTTTCTATCAGCAAATATAGTTTTTTTTATACATTATTATTTTATTGTTATTGCTGAGTTATTTTATTATTTGAGTATATAATAATGTAACTTCTGTCTTCTCTCAGCACTTGTTTAATGTGTTTATTTAAAATATGTTAATTTAAAACCTTTCTCTTCTTAGGGTCAACTCTATCCTGAAAGTCCATCCTCCCAGGAAGAAGGGACAGAAAGAAAGACCTCCCTGTAAAAAAGGCTTGTGTATCCCATGAACGAGACAGCGGAAAACCGATTGGAGTGCAGCAGGACTCCAGAGCCAGACATACGGCTCAGAAAAGGACACCAACTGGATGGCACTAGGACAGGTGACAATGACAACCACCAAGAAGATTTGGCGTCTATTTTAGAGGCGTCGGTTCTCTCTTCCCATCATAAAAAAGTAAGTTGAAGTGGCAGGATGGTAAGCTAAACAAAAATTTTTGAGACTGTGCCTGGAGAGAGGGTGGGGTTTTGAAAAGGAACCTTGAGCACATTTGTTAGTTTTTGTTTAGGATAATTTGAAGTCTCTTATTCTTAAGTCAGCTAGGTACTATTTGATTTCATAGTTAGGCCTTTTCTGTTGACACTTAAAATCATACCTAATTTGCTTTATCTTGTTTGAGAAAGGAAATGGGTTATATAGTGCTTCAGTGACCACATTGAAACCGAAGGGCAACCGAGTCTGGGGCTTGCACTGCCTGTGCTGCTCCGACATAGGAGTTGGGCCGTAGAATAAGTGTTTATTATCAGAGCACTGGTGGTCTGAGAAGGCAGGAGGTTCACACCTTCAAAAACTGCTTTAACATTCTCAGACCGGCTTGTGGTGTTTAAGGGAAAATCTGGGCATTCCTCTAAAGCAGCGGTTCTCAACCTGTGGGTCGCAACCCCTTTGGGGGTCAAACGACCCTTTCACAGGGGTCGCCTAAGACCATCGGAAAACAAAAAGATAATTATATTACAATTCATAACAGTAGCAAAATTACAGTTATAGAGTAGCAACGAAAATAATTTTATGGTTGGGGGTCACCACAACATGAGGAATTGTATTAAGGGGTTGCGGCATTAGGAAGGTTGAGAACCGCTGCTCTAAAGACTACGTGGGGGTCCCATGGATCTGTATGGAGCCTTCCCTGTGTCAGCAACCCAGGAACAATGATGGAAAGAATCCTAGACCTAGAACTAGAGATTGTGATCAGTAAGCCTAAGGGTATTAATCATAAGTTTCAGGGTAGTTTTGTAAAACTGGGAACTGGGTGGGACATTCTAAGCTTCTACTATGGGGATCCTAACTGGGCCCTGCTTCTTTCTATATTATCATTTATATTTTTAGAGAAATTCTAATTACATGCTGGAACTACTGCAGATATGGTTTATCTCTAGTGCGTACTTTGGAAGTCAGAGTTCTGGAAACAGACGGTGGATTTTAAACTCTTCTTTCACATCCCAGAGAAAAGAGCAGCTTTTAAGTTATTCAAGCAACTGTACCTAGAGAGAGCAAATGTGTCCATACCTGTGAACAGCAGCAGAAAGTCATTGTGGTAGATATTTTCCTATGTGCTTTGGAACCGTGAAATTATATAGCATACGTTCAACGTTGTGGCTGTAGCACAGTGTTTCTCACACTGTAGGTTGTTCCTGTTAGTGGTCTGTGTAACGAATTTTGGTACTACAAGCAGCATTTAAAAAATTAATCAGAATAGAATAAAGATAATGAGCTGCATGCATATCGTAATATACATTAAATTAATTATGTTATTTGATGAAATTACTTAGTTTTATATAGATATACAGAAGGTGCCATTGTATACACATTTTAAGAAAGGGAAAAACTCTAAATATATACTGATAACAAAGGATGAATACAAGTCACTTTTGACTTCTGCAGTTACAAGAGGTGCTCAAAATGGTTACCATCAGCGTCCAGACACTTCTGATTACAGCGAACTACTGCTTGAGCAGCGTTGACCAAAGTGTCCACTGGTGTACATTTTTTTGGAACCTCTAGGGTATTTGAGCTGTGCTTTGGAAGTAGAATTGACACAGTTTACTGGTGAACTGGATGTGATGGTTAAGGGAGAAAGAAGTGACTAGAATGACTCTGAAGTATGATGAGTAGTTAGATCGATGAGGGTATGGTACTGTGTTTTGAGATGGGAAAAAATGAGAGAGAATGAATTTGAAGATGAAGCAGGTTTAGGTGGGGGGGATCAGGAGTTTGCTTTGGGCCATGTTAAATAGGATGAAACACCTGAGAGACATCTTAGTGGATATGTCAAGAAGGTAGTTGTGTCTAAGTGTGGGATTCCAGAGGTGTCTGTGCTGGAGATAATCATTTAGGAAGTAGCCTCAATATAGATGATATTTAAAACTATTGAAATGGTTTAGAGGGGAAGAGTCAAGACAGGGATAGGAGAAGGGCCCTAGGACCCAGCCTGAATAACACCAGCATTCACAGGACATTTCAAGGAGAAAAAGCAAGTAGAGGTAGCTAAGAAAGAGAAGCCTGTGAGATAGGAGGAAATGTAATATCACAAAAAGCAAGAAAGTATTTCAAGAAGGAGGGGAGGGAGCTGTATAGTTTGTGTCTAGTGTTGCTAAAAGATCAAGGAGAAAAAGGATAGAAGAGTGACCACCGGTTCTGGCAATATGGTGTTCACTGGTGAACTATTTTGGTGGAGAGGTGGAAACAAGTAGATCAAATTGTGAATAGTAGGTGATAAGTATTCATGGCATGTGTAATAAGCAGTTCCTTCTCTGTCATGGAAAAAGATGTTTCAGACTAGTGAACTGTTTCCAGTGTGTTTCCTATGAGCTGACATTGTCTTAGAACTTTGTGGTTTTCCATGCACAATAATAACAATTAGAATTGAATAAAACCTTTAATGTTTTGCTTATTCTTTTTTTTCTTTTAAAATTGGGGAATTGGGGGAGGGGAACAGTGTTGGAGAATTGGGGAGGGGGACAAGCCAAGTTGTTGTTCTTCAATCTTAGTTGTGGAGGGCGCCAGTTGCCATTTGGCTGCCTGTTGGCAGCTCGTGGCCTCTAAGCTCAAGCTGCTGTGTTACAATCTTAGTTGCGGGTGGGCGTAGCCACCATCCCATGCGGGAATCGAACCAACAGCCTTGTTGTTAAGAGCGCACACTCTATCCACTGAACCATCCGGGTGGCAGCTCAGCTCAAGGTGCCGAGTTCAGTCTTAGTTGCTGGTGGGCATAGCCACCTTCCCATGCGGGAGTCAAACCAGCAGCCTTGTTGCTCTATTCATGGAGCCATCCAGGTGATAGCTCAGCTCAAGGTGCCAAGTTCAATCTTAGTTGCAGGCGGGCATAACCCACCGTCAAACAGGCAGTCTTGTTGTTAGGAGCATGTGCTCTCACCAACTGAGCCATCCTGCCACCTGTTGGCAGCTCAGTGGCAGCTCAGCTCGGGCGCAGCATCACTGGCCCATGTGGGAATCAAACTGGTGGCCCTGTTGCTCAGAGCTTGCGCTCCTAAGCTAACTCCCAACCAAGTGAGCTGCTCAGCCGACCTAGGATTTGATTTTTTAATTCGTAAAAGCAGTTAATACAGTGTCTAACATGTCGTTAGTACACAATAAATAGTAATTCTATTACCCTGTCCTTCCTTTGTCATAGTACTCAACTGATGTAATTGCAGTACATCCTGGGAAACACATCCTAAACTCACCCATGTATCTCAGGCACCCTGGACTTCAACAATATTTTTACAAAGGTGATTTCTAAAACCATAGTCTTAGTACTGGCTTCTTTATTGATTGGACCTTTAACTGTTTCATATTAAACTAATTTAGTCCACTCCCACCCCAACCAGCATTTCCTTCTGACTTCCTTATTTCTGTTAAATAGTACCAACTGTCTTTCAAGTACCCAGACTGGGTTCTTAGAATGTCAGTGTCCACCTGACCACAAGTCATTCAGTTTAGTAGATGCACACATGCATTTGTTTTTGGTGCAGATGGCTTTAGTTTCTTGACTGTGTGCTGGCACTGTAGGAATACAAAGATAAGATATGGTTTTTGCCCTTAAGCAGCTTACAGTCTAATTGGTGAGACAGACAAATAAATCAGTACATTTGTGGTACTGTGTGACTGTATACACAGGGTACTATGCAAGCAGCTCTTCCTGCAGGTGGGGACCTGGGGAGGTAGAACTGGAGTTTCAGGATTAGCTAAGAGAAAGGGAATGTCAGATGTGAAGCCTCAGAAGTAAGAACTAACATGAAGCTTTCAGGGAATAGTGGTAATAATAATAGCTAACATGTTTTGAGTAGACACTGGTATATGCTGTTGTCTTAACCTATAAAATGTTCAGCGTAGATAAAACGAAGGATCAAGGGTACAAGGAAATGGAGGGTTTGGTAGCAAGTAAACCTAGATAATTGGGGCCTAAAATACAGATCTCTAAACTCCTGTTCCAATATTCTTCCATTGTCCAAAATTCTTTTTGAAATGTGTAATGTGTGTTAGTTGAAGTTAATAGGCCATTGCTTCTATGCCTCAGACTCTAAAGCCTAGGCTCCTTTAACTGTATTTGCTGAAGTTTATAAGTTAAGCATTTTGTAAGCTTCTTCAGACAAAAACATAAAAGAGACATTTCAAAACAGGTTGCCCTGATCCTTAGTTTTATGGGTTTACTTCACGTCTCTGAGTTTTCAAGGTATTAAGTTGAATAAAGAGAGCAGCCTTTGTGGTTGTCCTACTTTTTCTGTGCTTCAGACTCTTCATAAACAGGGATTAGGAGCCAACTTTGATTCGTTCAGCCTAGGAATTATTCTGTTGAACTGATTTATTTTAACTAAACACATAAGAATGCCACTGTCTATTAGTTCATCATAAGAAAGCTAAACTTATAAATAGACTCTTGTCTACCAATCACTTCATTTTCTTTTCTTGAGGAAGTCTACTTAGGAAATTCAGTTAAGATTAGAGAGAATTGCTGTGTGAATAAAAAAAAAAGAGGATGATTTTAAAAGATCTTTTCCATCAAGCTTTGATAGAGATAACTATATTAAATCCTTACTTAACGTTCTTGATAGATTCTGTTACTTTAAGTGAAACGATGTTTAATGAAGCCAGTTTTACCATAGGCTAATTGATATAAACAAGAGTTCAGTTCCTATAGCATTTCATCAACATTATAACAAAAGGATGTTCTTCGACAACCTCCTGTATTGTGTACATACTGAGTGTATATGTTTCTAGGAAGGCCAAAATGAATGTCATATAGACTAGGTATGATATTTATTCCATTGGACAATAGCACAGTCATCAGTGCTTACTCTTTCAGTTGTTTTTAAAATTTTTTTTTTATTGGGTAACTGTGTTTTTTCCAGGACCCTTCAGCTCCAAGCCCTTCAACCTAGTTGTGGAGGGCGCAGCTCAGCTGCATGTCCAGTCGTCATTTTCAATTTAGTTGTGGTTGGTGGGGCGAAGGGGGAGGTGCAGCCCACCATCCCATGTGGGAGTTGAACCAGGAGCCTTGTTGTTCAGAGCACGCACTCTAACCAACTGATCCACCCGGTACCTTCTTTCAGTTGTTTTTTGTAGACATCTTAATTTCCACTTGTGTTGGTATTTGTTAGCTCTATCAGCTTGCTAATGCCTTTAGTGCACATTTCAGATTTCTAAATTTAAGACTGGAGTCAACCTGTCACATTTCCAAAAAGACCATTAGAATAACCTGGTGCTCAAACTAAGCCAAGTTTACCTTGCAGTAAGAGTGAACTTAACGAGTCCTAGTGGTGTTTTAGAAAGGAGAGGTCATGGATGGAGATTTAAAGATTTTTTTGGGCTCTGGGTTCTAGTGATTTAAGACAGGTCTTTCAGTACAGAGAACACATTGACAGAACTGTGATAGGATAGTTTAGGATTGGTGGAGTGAGTGTTATGAGGAGAAATTTGTTTGATAAGTGAGGAGGTTTGTGCAAATAGTAGATGTGCATCATGATCATTGACCAGTCATGCCATTTCTTTGAAAGTCTATTGGTGACTGGTGACTGAACATCTGTTATTCGTTTAATGCACAAGACAGGAGAGTGTATAGTTGTGTTGCTTCCCAGTAATAAACCTATGTGGCTTTTTATGAAAGTAGATAATCAAAAGAGGGGTAAAGATAAAAGTGAAGCAAAGAAGTGAAAATGATAATGCTGGAAGTTGAAAGTCAAATCCAACATAAATGGAGTTGTAGAAGACATAGCCAACTGTGGGAATATTGACTTGCCACCATTGAGTGATTTTAGATTTGCAGCCAGAGGAACTTAGTGAAGGCAGACTTGTCAGCATAGATGAGTAGTGTTTGTGACAAAAAAGGATGAAGGTGTCCAGAGAAGTGATGCAGGCAAAAGAGTCAAATTAAAGGAACTCTTACAGATATATCATGGCACTGAAAGTGCGAAGAATAAAATGTTGAAAGCTGATTCAAACTTAGGAATCTGACAATTTGCCAAGGCATAGGAAAGGTGCACCTTTGGTATTGTAAGTTATACAAGAAGAAGGCAAGTACTGTTCCAATTACTCTTGGCAAGTTTTTTATGAATGAATAAATGCTTAATGTTAATGTTTCTGTTTTAAAATATAGCATACTATATAAGTACTAGTTTTACTATTTTTTAAAAAATTTCCCTGTACATTTAAAACTGGCAGTTTTTAATGTTTTGACAGCATTTTTTAAGCTCATGGAATAGTCATTTCCCCCATTGGTTATTAAGATTGTTTTACGTGACTTGGGCTTGCACAGTCGTTTTTAAGATCCTGCATTACTGTGCAAAGCAAGATCTGCCTGTGTGTGTTGTGGTCTTTTGTCCAAACATCTATTACCTGCAAAATCAGGCAGTTTTATAACTAGTAAACAGTGCAAATGGAAAGAATACAGTCTGAACTTTGGAATTATATGGACCTCAGTTGAACTTCTGACTGGCATTTGCCAGTTGTGTGACCTTGAACAAATCACCTCAGGTTCCTCTGTAAAATGGTACTGCTCAATGAATACTTTAAAAATTTTTTGAATTAATGCTGACCATTTAACCCTGACACTAGTAACCACTTATTTTAGTAAGTAGCTCACTTATTTATTAGCATCTTTCACAGTGAAGTATCTGATAAAATATTTTTTTCTGATGTAAACACAATATGGGACTGCAACATAATTTGAAGTGTGTAGATCTTCTGTCATCATTTCTTTAGATCAGTTTCTCAACCACCATTGTCATTTTGGGCAGATAGTTCTTTGTTGTGAGAACTGCCCGTTGCACAACTGTAGGATGTTTAATTTTTTATTGAAAATCTTTTTTTTTTTTTAAATTGGGGAACAGTGTGTTTTTCCAGGACCCATCAGCTCCAAGTCAAGTAGTTGTTTCAGCCTAGTTGTGGAGGGCACACCTCAGTGGCCCATGTGGGACTCTAACCGGTAACTCTAGTGTCATGAGCACTGTGCTCTAACCTACTGAACTAACCGGCCGCCCCTGAAAATCTTTTAAAACATTAATTTAGCCACTGTGTAAATATATAAAATATTACACTGAGCTGTTCTGAGGGCCATGGGGAAGAAGACAAACATAGACACTTAAAATCTAGTTTAGGAAATGATACACTAAAAATGTAGGATTCTCTTAAACATTAAATAAAACAGTATTCATCAATACAACAACAGCTGTAATCAGATATTATATTAGTTGTCCAATAAGGGGTACAGACTTTTAAGTGCTAAAGAAGTCCAGGAGAGGTAGTTGCTATGGGTTAGGTAGGGCATACATTCTCTGGTGAAAATTACTTCTCATTTGAGGGAGTGAAAAACTCTTTGTAACCTCTCCAAAGGGCCATGGCACATAAACAGATATATGTGTATTATCTGTGTTATTAAAATTTTATGGGGATGGGAGAAGCAATCCAAAAGTGTTGGGGGTGCAGAGGCGGGAAGGTGGCAACCATGAAAGGAAGGTTGGGGAAAGCTAGGCTGGGTAGGTAAGGAAGACTTTTAAACAAGAAATATGATGGAATGGGCATTGAAGGATAGATAAGTAACTTTTAGGTAAGTAAAGAAGGGAGATGTTTTATTGGTAAGAGTGTAGAAAAGCAAGTTTTTTTGTTCTTCAGGCTAGTTGTGGAGGACGTTGCTTCACTGGCCCATGTTGGTATGATCATCGTGCTCTTCCCAGGTGACGCAGTCGGTCGCCAGTCATTGGTCGGCTGCTCACAGCAGCTCCCGGCAGCTCACACTGGCTGCCGGCCACTCACGGTAGCTTATGGCAGCCCACTACAGCAGGGGCTGCAGCCTACGCCGTCACCTCACAGCAGCCCAGCTCCAGGTGGAGCTGTTGTTCGGCATCTTAGCTGTAGAGGGCAGTGTGACTGGCCCTCAATGTGGGATCCCACCCGCAGCCCTGCTGCTCAGAGCTGGCGCTCCCAAGCAAGCTCTTAACCAGCTGAGCCACTCGGCTGGCCTCCAGGTAGTTTTTGTATTGGAGGTGGAGGATCAGTTCATTTCTTCATGAAGTTATGCTAGTGGTACTGTTTATCTTGCAGACTCTTAGTTAGATATGGAATTACAGTTCTCTTGTGATGTCGTTATTCACTGACTAACAGAATCACAGAATTTTAGAGAATGTAGAAGACTGTAGAGATGGTTTAGTTTAAACTCCTCCTTTTAGATAGAAATGAGAAAATTGAAGCTCAGAAAGGTTGAGAGACATGTATAAAGTTCCACTGATATTAGTTACTACTTGGATCTCCTGACTCCTGTCTAGTCCAGTGCCCTTCTCACAGTATCATTCTGTCTAAACTAGTATGAAGCTTTATCTGGAAACAAATCGTAATATTAGTGATTTATCCCTTAAGGTCTAACCAAATTGTCATTTCTTCCTCTGTTTCCCCAAATTGATCATTTCCTCAAAGAATGTGGAAAGACAATGGGTGATGGGTGCTAGATTTTTTTTACTTTTTTATCTTACTAGTTTTAACCTTGGGCAACTTATTTAACCTTTTTGCCTAATGTCCTTTATGTGTTAAATTAGATAAGAATACTTATCTAATAAGGTGGTTATCAGGTATAAAGCTTTTTCCTTTGTGCTTGACATATCTAAGACTTTAGTAAATGTCTTTTTTATTTCCCCCTAGAGCACTTAACCACATTGTATTATGATTATTTATTTTATAACCAAGTGGGGTTGTTAGAGATTTTCCCCATAGTAATTCCTCACTTTATATATTTAATTATATTATGTGGTCTATGAATATAATTCTGCTTTAAAAATAATCTTTGATTTTTAGTTACAGTTACATACATTATTTTATGATATACAACATTCATGAATATAATTCTTTTTTTTTTAAGATTTTTGGGGAATTGGGGGAAGGGGAACAGACAAGTTGTTATCCTTTTGTTCTTCAGTCTAGTTGTGGAGGACGTTGCTTCACTGGCCCAAGTTGGCACCATCAATGCGCTCTTCCCGGGCGAGGCAGATCAGTCACCGGCTTCTGGACAGCCGCTCACAGCGGCTGCTGGCTGCTCACGCTGGCTGCTGGCTACACACGGTAGCCCATGGCAACCCACCTGCCCTTGCTGGCGACTTATGGCAGCCCAGCTCCAGGTTGAGCTGTTGGTCAGCATCTTAGCTGTAGAGGGCAGTGTCACTGGCCCTCATATGTGGGATCCGAACTGGGGCCCTCTGGCGTCCCAAGCCAGCTCTTAACCAATGCGCTACTCGGCCGGCCCCATGAATATAATTCTTAAAACAAAAAACAAACCATTTAGACTATCCCAGGAATTTGCTACTGAAATAAACATAGGAATGCTGTTGTTACAGTTCATTTGTCTATCAGAAAAGAATTGAGTAACTATTCTTCCTATTTAATACTCATAATTCTATAATAAACTGACTTTCCTTCCTATATTGTTACTTGGGCCTTGTTTTGACCTTAAGAGAATTTCATTATAATTCTTCAAGGAAAGTATATTTATTATTTCATGTGGCTCCTGGTCTCTGTCCCTGACTGTTTCTATAATTGCCTTGCAGAGATCTGAGGAACATGAGTCCAATGATGAAGCCTCTCAGGAAGAGGAGGGGTTTATGGGTATGTCTCCTCTCTTACAAGCCCATCATGCTATGGAACGAATGGAAGAGTTTGTTTGTAAGGTAAGATGGTAGTTTCTTGTTATTTCCGTGCTATATGATTAGCCCTTCCCAAGCAGAAACCTTTAAGGACAGAGGGCAGTGCCTTACCCTTTGGTTAGCTTTGGGGATAATCTCTTGAAAAATGTAGACAGAAGAAATCTCATGATTTTAACCCTGTTCAAAGCATAATGCACTTTCCTGCGGCAGCCATGATATTTTTGGAAAGCTAGAACATCCAACTGGGAAACAAGTCTTTCCTGATGTTACGTTAACAGACTGGAGATCTTACTGATAGTTTAGATAAGACAGGATGAAACAAAATTGGGGGTGGTTGATGCCTAAAGATACTAAAATGCCATCTCCAAGTCCCTTGAATCTGTTCTGTTGTTTGACTGTGATGGCAAATGTGCTACTCTTTCTAGGAGCTCTAGGGGTAATCAGACTACTCTTTAAATAGAAATTTCCCAGTTTTCAATGCACATCTAGTATTTTCAGTTTAGCTGGTGTATTTTCTGTCTCTAAGATTTTTCTTCCAATTCATTATCTGATCCATTAGAACCTACTGTGGGGATCTCTGCCCCGCCCCCACCCAAATGGTAACTGGATTTGGGGTTGCTTGCTTAGAGAAAATAGGGACACTGGTAAGTTTATAGCCATTTGCTTAATCTGATCAATCAGGGCCCTTGCAGTTATGATCTAAAGTCAGCATAAGTCTGTTTATGTGTATATAAATTCATTTATTAAACATTTCTGGAGAACTCTTGATCATTTAGAGAGAAATTTTTGTGACTCAGCTTTTTCATGGGTGTTATGAAACCAAGACTTCATACATGTGGTCTTAGATGCTGAAAACGAAACTTAGGTTTTTCTGCATTCACAGTGACACTAGAAATAATTGGGGCCAGTTAACTTAGAGTAGTATACTTTGCACCAGAGGATGAGAAGAGAAATTATAATCTGAATATAGATATTCCTGGCAAGATAAAGGGATGGGTGGGAGAGTGGCAGGGGAGGTTGTGTAAACATTTATGGGTCTACTTAGAGCCCAGGAAATTTTAATCAGTGCTTGAAAATTGGTGAAGAAAAAGCCAAGCAAAACAATAGATCCATTTTAGTGATGGCTGACTCAGAAGAATTAGCACAGAAGGATACAAAACATATATTTTGTTTTTCAGAAAGCAAGTTTGGTGTTAAATCTCTCAAAGTTGAGTATTTAGTGTTGGGGCCCTTAGGGATTTTTAATATTTACACATCAGTGGGGTACTGTAGCTAACTTGACTTGCCTTTTTGTTCTCGTTTGAACTAAGAGTAAAGAATAAAGCAAATGAAACTTTCAGTTTAACAGCTAATGGGGGAATAAATAGGGCTTTTCAAAAATTTTTTGCTGCAAACTATGATTTACTCAAGATAAATGAGTGGTGCACAAAAATTGATAAACCATTTGCTTATCATCCCTTAGCAGTTTGTGCATGAGAGCAAAATGAAGAGGCTTCGTGTTACACGGTGTCTCCAGGGCTGCTCTCTCTACCCTGCTATTAAAACCGTACTTGAAAGCTAACCATGTCCAGTGACATGAGGATTCTGTTTCTTGGTTTGGAAACAAGTAAACAGAGACAGTTTAAAATGAAGTGTCCTGTGGCCTTGCTGGTGCACTTTCTCTTTAAGAAAAGCTTTTCTTCTAGGAATAGGGAAAATGAAAGCATTTTAGTCTTTATAGAGTGTCCAAGTTTGATCTTGATCTCTTTTTTATTCAGCCTTCAGTTGCTGCTATTTCACCAGCATAGCCTGGCCCATGTGGAAATAGAAGGTGTACTGTGGTATTTTTTTTTTTTAATTATGTTGTGCATTATATGGTCTAATACAAACCCAGTGGACCATTGCTGAGGTGTTTGATTTAGGCAGTGTCTTTATCGAGCTTATAAATCACCATGTCTTCATCCAAGCTGTGATCTGCTCTTTTTTCCCAGGCGGTAAGGATCCCTGTTAGGATTGGTGTTTGGCTGACTCCAAGTTGAGAATGAGGGTGCATTGTCTGTTGAATATAACACAATTGCTGTATAATTAACTAGAAAGTACAGCTCCCTGGCTCAGTTTTTAGGCCACTAGAATGCTTAGACCACTAGAAACAGTGGGGGGGAATCACTCTGACATTATATGTGCATATTCTCTGTGACTAGGAAGGGGAGCACCTGACTCTTCTGTGTGGTGACGTAGCAGGTTTCACAGGTCCCAGTGGAGCCGTTGTTGCCCATTGTGAGCTGCCTGGAGGATGTAAGGACTGGTTTGACTTCCTCTCCCTTAGAAAATAAAATCCTCCCAAAGTAAAACTCTGGTTAATTTCAACAATAACTGTCCTTGACCAGGTTTCAATTAGATGAAAGAAATGGAGTGTCTTGGTGTCTGTCTCTCTCCACAAAGTCCTATAGGAAGATCTCAAACAGCTACTAGTACAAGTGGTGGTAATATCAGCAGTAGGCATTAAAAATCTAGATTAGTCGTTTGGCATTGTTTTATTTTATGTTAGGAACAAGCATAGAATGACCAGATGAGCACCGAAACCACAGGCCTCAGATTTTGAGTTGGAAGGTGAGGAGGGAAGTGGGGGGACAAGTAGAGAGAGAGAGAGAGGGTGAATTTTAATAGAGTATTAAGAGGGCCATTTCTGTTCTTAAATTTAGTCCTCCCTTTGGAGTTACACATGTAAATGTCAGGAAGGATTCAGGAGAGCAGAGAGCAGGACAATGCTGTGGACAAAGAAATGAGCACGGTAGCTGGCAGCTCGCTGGGAATCTTTCTGAAGCACAGTAGAGACAGAACCAAGTTTGTAGGGCCCAGCTGTGTTGTTTGTCACAGGAACCCTGAGGAGTGCAGAGTGGGATCAGTGACACCAGGCCACGTGCCTGGTATTTTTCCTTCCGTCTTTCTGGCTAGCAGGAGCAGTTAGTTCAGGGTTAGTGATCCTTGTGGTGTGAGCTCTCTGCTGAGAGACATTAACACATTGTGAACCAGTGATGCAGATTTGCGTCTATACATTACAGCTGTGCAAGACAGATGACGCAGATTTGCGTTTTTTAACTCATGCTTGGTTTCCATGCACTATACACTTAACTACGCAATACACGGAGCCTTTCTCCGAATGGTCTTGCTGATGAATATTTATAGAAACGTGACCTCACTCTGAGTTAATGATCTGTCATAAATATAGAGAACAAACAGCTCTGTATTTTCCTCTGTTGCTCTGCTCCGCATTTAGTCAGCATTCAGATTTCAATCACTTTACACCCATGACAGAAAGATGTAGTTCTTATGGGAAAAAACAGACACAGACGCAGCACGCCCAGGGACATCAATCCAAACCCCTTGTGTGCCTCATGAGGACCCCCCTGGGAGACTTTCAGGTGATATGTGAAAACTTGTGCTAGAGAAAATTGTTGGAAGTGAACGGGGTAAAAGAAAATATCCTGCTAGGAGGTACCATGTTTGTGCTGCCCACAAAAAAAGAAGTGAAAATCGGTAAATCTCCAATTTCTGCTTAGTGCCATTCCACAAGGGGGAATGTTTCCAGAGGTATCACACTCTCAAGCACTACTAGGGTCTTTGGCGAGTATTTCCTGAAAATTTCAGTTCACAAAAATAGTTAGCAAATTTGTTATAACTTTTTAAAGAGACAGTATAAAAGTTGATTTCAATGGTTTAAACCCTGGGAACATGTATTTAAACAATTTAAATGCCTCGTCCTCAATGTGTTAAAAGAAGCAGAGGATGGAGGTTGACAAACTTTTTAAGGAGGGGATACCAAACTCCTGATCTGATTGATCCCTTTTCCTTTAGAGTTCGATGGGGGGAGGGACAATGAGAAAAAGGGAGAAAATGGCCAGGGCGGTGAAGGGACTTGAAGGACAGCAAAGGCTTAGCTTCCTTGCCATCTTGCCAGCAGAGGAGGGGGGATTAGCCACAGATTTTCAGACAGGTGATAGCCTCTGGGCGGAGGCTGGCCTTTGCTGACCCATTCATGAAGTCCTTTGGGTCATTCCATTTGATCCTCATAACTTCCTTATGAAGTAATTGAAGCACTATTGTCCTCATTTTATAAATGAGGAAACTGAGGCTTGGTGATTTTGTGACTAAAGCTCGTTCAACTAGTTAATGATAGAGATCCAAGGTTTTCTGACTCCTATGCTCTTTTCTTTCCTATTTAATGTTTGCTGTGGTAGGAAGAGAAGAGAGTAAAGGGAGAGGGAGAGATTTTAGCAAAAGGCACAAAAGTATGGTTCTGTGTAGTTTTTTTTCCACCCACAGGAATGTTTAAAAATGGTCGTATTTAATATCACAGGAATTTCTCAGAGGTAAAGTCTATCGTGAAGGATGAAGAAGGGGAGTCTGTGAGTGGGACTCTGGACTCCTCACCCCACTTGTCGCCAGACTGAAAAAAGTTGGAAATCACTCTGAAGGGAGTTCTATAAGTTCACTTGCTTGTCCTTTTTACTAAGAAAAGTTCCCCATGCAAAAATCTTTTTGATCAGTCTTTTTTAAAAACTCAGAATATAGAACATTATACATTTTGAATGTCTTTCTCTTTCTAAAAGTAAGTTGTTTTTCTCATAAGAAGATGTAAGAGATTGTGGTAAGAGATTTTTATTTGGGACCAGTGTTGCTAAACTGAATTAAAGCCACAAAGGTATTTGGTAACATTCTTCTTGCAGGTATGGGAAGGTCGATGGCGAGTAATCCCTCATGATGTGCTCCCAGACTGGCTCAAGGATAACGACTTCCTCCTACATGGACACCGGCCCCCTATGCCTTCTTTCCGGGCCTGTTTTAAAAGCATTTTCAGAATACACACGGAGACAGGCAACATCTGGACACATCTCTTAGGTATTTGATATCTGTGGTGGAATGAGTTGGTAATTCACTTTATTTCCCGTGTATATGATGGTAAAGATGGAAGTTAAAAGTGTATTTGGGATTTGCCTTTTTTCCCCCTCAAAGATTTAATTGGGGGAGGGAACAGCACTGGTGAATCGGGGAAGGGGAACAGACAAGTTGCTGTCCTTTTGTTCTTCAGTCTAGTTGTGGAGGACTGGCCCACAACTGGCCCTCGCTTCACTGGCCAATGTTGGTGTTATCATTGCGCTCTTCCTGGCTGAGGCAGTCGGTCGCTGGCCATTGGACGGCCGCTCATGGCGGCTCACGGCAGCTCTCGCTGGCTGCCGGCTGCCCACACTGGCTGCCGGCCACTCATGGTAACTTATGGCAGCCCACTGCAGCCTGCACTGTCTCCAGCTACTCACGGCAGCCCAGCTCCAGGTAGAGTTGTTGTTCACACTCTTAGCTGTAGAGGGAGTGTCACTGGCCCTCATGTGGCAACCGAATCAGCGGCCCTGCTGCTCAGAGCTCCCGCTCCCAACCGACTCAACCAACCGAGCCACTCGGCAGGCCCCGGGATTTGCCTTTTTGATTTCTGGGTTTCTAATGATGCAGTTTCACTGACTTACTCTATGGTTATCCTACTTTTGCAGTATGGTTTTATTATAGCTAAGTCATATTTTTCTCTACTAGATTTTCAGACAGTGTCTGAACGAGGTCAAGGCAAAGGTGCCATTCAAAATGTGGTATAGGGCCGGCTGAGTGGTGTGTTGGTTAAGGGTTGGCTTGGGATGCCAGCTCTGAGCAGCAGGGCCCTGGTTTGGATCCCATATGAGGGCCAGTGATGCTGAGCCCTCTATAGCTAAGATGGTGAACAACAGCTCAACCTGGAGCTGGGCTGCCGTGAGTCACTGATGATTGCGTAGGCTGCATCTCCAGCTGCAGTGGGCTGCCGGGATCTACCGTGAGTGGCTGGTAGCCAGCATTGAGTGGCCGGCAGCTGGCATGAGCTGCCGTGAGCAGCCAGCCAATGGCCGGCGAGCGACTGCCTCACCCAGGAAAGAGTGCAATGATAATATCAACATGGGCCAGTGAAGCGACGTCCTCCACAACTAGACTGAAGAACAAAAGGACAGGGACTTGTCTGTTCCCTTCCCCGATTCCCTAACACTGTTCCCCTCCCCCAATTCCCCAATAAAATTAAAAAAAAAAAGTGGTATAATATGGTAATGAACACCGAGAGGAAGGTAGTTATTCAGTTATTTAACAGAAGTAAGCTGGTTTTTCAAAGTCATTACTCAGAATATTCACAATTTCAGTTTGGCTTGAAGTAGAATGTGATGTGTAATATTTTTTTCCATCATGATTGTATATTAAAGAAGGAATATGATGGGAGAAAGAATATCTTTTCAACAAATGGTATTGGGGGAAACTGAGTAGCTACATGTTAAAGAATGAAATGGACTCCTTACACCACATACAGAAATTAACTGAAAATGAATCAAAGACCTAATCATAAAGAACTACAACTATAAAACGATTAGGAGAAAACATAGATATAGATCTTGGTGACCTTGGGTGAGGCTACCGTTTCTTAAAATTGACATCTGCAACCAAAGAAAAAAAATGGATAAATTGGACTTCATTAAAACTAGCAATTTTGTATGTCAAAAGACATAATCAAGAAACTGAAAAGCTAATCCACAGGACAGGAGAAAATATTTACAGAGCATATATCTGATAAGAGTATGGTAAAGAATTCTTATACTAAACAGTAAAAAGACAACCCAACTTAAAAAAAAATGAGTAAAGCATCTAAATAGACCTTTCTTCAGAGAAGATCTACAAATGGCCAATAAACACATGAAAAGTTGCTCAGCATCATTAGTCGTTTTTGGAAATGCAAATCTAATATTTTGAGAAATGCAATGAAATATCACTTCACACTCACTAGAATGTCTGTAATCAAGAAAATGGAAAATAACTAATCTTGGCCAGGATGTGAAAAAGTAACAACTTTCATACAGTGTTGGTGGGAATGTGAAATGATGCAGCCCCTATGGAAAACAGCTTGGTAGTTCCTCAAATAGTTAAACAGAGTTACCAGCAATTTTACTCCTTAGGCGTATACTCAAGAAAATTGAAAACATGTTCACAGAAAAACGAGTACACAGATGTTTTTGGCAGTATTATTTATAATAGCCAGAAAGTGGAAACAACCCAAATATCTGTCAACTGTTGAATGGATAAACAAAATGTGGTATATCCATATAATGACATATTATTTGATATTGATGCATGCTACAACATAGGTGAGCCTTGAAAACATTATGCTTAGTGGAAGAAGCCAGACACAAAAGGCCCCATATATGATCCATATACATGAAATGCCCAGAATGGGGAAAATCCAGAGACAGAAAGTAGGTTAGTGGTTCTCTAGGGTGGGGATTAGGAAAAGGGAGATGGCTGTAACAGGGATAGGGCTTCTTTGGGGGGTGATGAAAATGTTCTGGAATTTAATAATAGTAGTGATGGTTGCACAATCTTGTGAATACAGCAGCCCCGCGCCCCCCCCTCCCGCCCCTGCATATCCGAGGAAAACACTTCCTAAGACCCCAAGTGGACGTCTGAAACCACAGATAATACCAAACCCTATATACTGGGGGTGCAAAAAAAAAAAAATGTATACAGGTTGACACTTTGGTCAACATTGCTCAAGCAGAAGTGTCTGGATGCTGATGGTAACCACTTTGAGCACCTCTTCTAATTGAAGAAGTCAAACGTGACTTGTATTCATCGGTATATATTATTACAATTTTAATACAATTTTCCTTTCTTAAAATGTATACATTTTTTGGGCACCCTCTGTATATACTGTGTTTTTTCCTATGCATATGTACCTAAGATAAAGTTTTAATTTATAAATCAGGCACAATAAGAGATTGACAACAAAAACTAATAGCAAAATAAAAACAATTATAACTATACTGTAATAAAAGTTACATGAATGTGGTCTTGGTTCCCCCCCCCCCAATAATGAATCTGATAACTGAGACAGCTACTAAATGACTAATGGGCAGGTAGCATATGTACACTGTACAAAGGGTTTAGTCACGTCCTGGTTGGGATGGTGTGAAATTTCATCACGCTACTCAGAACAGTGCATAATTCAAAACTTATGAATTGTTTGTTTCTGGAATGTTTTTATTTAATATTTTCAGACCGCTGTTGACCATGGGTAACTGAACCATGGAAAGCGAAACTGTGATAAGGGGAGGACTGTTGTATACTAAGTCTTTTCTGGCCTTCCGCCCTTTGGCTGGAACTTCACATTTGATTTTCACCGTGCCCCCATGTTCCTACCTGCCGGTACAGTGAGAACAGAATAGAGCAGAGGTCGGCAAACTTTTGAGACGGAAGAGCCGCCAGGGGTCAGCAAAGTGCGGCTCGTGAACTGTGGCTCTGAAGTAAAATTGAAAATGAAAATAAAACTATCATAGTTTCATTTATAAAATTTTTACAGGGTATTATTCACATAATGGTGATTATGTAAAAATATATTATGGCTCTTGAATAATTTTTAAGTTGTTGTGAGGGACAGGATTGGCTCTTCCAGGGGTCAGCAAACTTGAGACTGAATGTACCCACACAGCCGCATGTGGCTCGCAAGCCGCAGTTTGCCGACCCTTGGAATAGAGTTTGAAATCAAGTTCATCACTCACTTCTAACTCCAGGGTAAATGTTCTATTAAATGAATCAAACAATCGTTTAACATGTCTAAATTCTTAATTTCTGTGCCTTCCTGTGTTAAGTGGCCCTTCCCTAAGCAATAAGAACATCTTACTGTGTTGAAAAGTTTAAAAGCTGTTTATGAAATAGTCTAAATAGGCATTTACTGTCCTAAATTCTTCAATCTATTGGGCCAGGTAGGACCACAGAAGCATGAGGTGCCCTGACAACTTCTTGGAAGTGTTTGGAGGTATTGGAATTCACTGCAAAAGCAAACACAAAATAGACTTTGAAAGCTTTGAAAGCATATGTGCCAAAAACATTATAAATGAAATGTAGTTTTCTAAGAAGTAGCATTGTCTGGTTTGTCTTTGGATTACGTTCTTAGATAAATAAGTGATTATGTTCTGTATACTCAGTTTCTGAAGCTGAGGAGTATATATCAACAGTGTTTGAAATAGCCAACATTTTAGATAAGCTTCAGTTATTTAGAAAATTTTTCTCATGGAACTTTCGATCCAGATATCATTGTGATTGAGAAAGATTGACAAGATAATCAACATATAACATTGTCTCTCCAAAAAGATAATCTTTGCTCTCTCCCCTATACTCTTCCTAGGTTGTGTATTCTTCCTGTGCCTGGGGATCTTTTATATGTTTCGCCCAAACATTTTCTTTGTGGCCCCTTTGCAAGAGAAGGTGGTCTTTGGATTATTCTTCTTGGGGGCCATTCTCTGCCTTTCTTTTTCATGGCTCTTCCACACAGTCTACTGCCACTCAGAAGGGGTCTCCCGACTCTTCTCTAAGTAAGTATCTGTAAGGTCCATATTTTGAGCAATGATTTAGAGTCAGTGGGTTGGGAAAAAACAGCCAGCATAGTTGGCAGAATTCTTAGTACCATTTAATGGGAACTTCAAAAATTAAACCAAGCACCCCGATTGGCCTCTTAGCTGCTAGCTGTTGTTATGGGGAATGAATTGAAATATGTAGTGAGCAGTCATTTTTAACATTAAATGGATTTTTTTTTCCTAGACTGGATTACTCTGGTATTGCTCTTCTGATCATGGGAAGTTTTGTTCCTTGGCTTTATTATTCTTTCTACTGTAATCCACAACCTTGCTTCATTTACTTGATTGTCATCTGTGTGCTGGGCATCGCGGCCATCATAGTCTCCCAGTGGGACATGTTTGCCACCCCTCAGTATCGAGGAGTAAGAGCAGGTAAGAGCATGTGGAGGGTTTCCATTGGCCATTTATTTATCAGTCATTTATTAAAGGTCCACATTTGCCAAGCGTTATGCTATGTACTTGTGATGCAAAGAAGAATAAATCACGGTTCCTGTTCTTGAGGGGCTTGTGATGTCAAAGAGTTCATTAGTGTCTTAAAACATTAGAGGTGAGGGAGTGGGGGTGGTGAGCTGTGAGCTGATGTGTAGTTTACCTAAGTGTGTGGCCATACATACCCTCTGGGGAGACAGGGCTCTGTAACCTTTGTAAAATTAATGATTCCATTCACCTCTGCTGGAAGTGTTCTTTCTGTAGTGATTTTTTTCCTTTTTGTTTTCCTTTGTATTTTCATTTTAAAGTATATAATCTGCTTAGGTAGATAAGACTTCCCTCCATACTGATTGTGTTCCACTAAATTAGGCACCGTGCATCTCTTCTGATTAGGGATAAAGAGGCTTTTTGTATTTAGGGGAATGTCTGTGTAGCCTGAGACCCTATGGAAAGCCACAGCCTTTGAGGGTCTTGGTTGAGCCTTCCTGTAGGAGGACGGGGTTTACAGACCTGTTTGTCTCCCACAGGACTCGGAACTCTTTATAGTCAGGGATGTCTTGAATTTTCTATCCCCAGCATCAAACCTGGTGTCGACTGACAATGAACAAGAGTATTAAAAGTATTTTTCCTTTCAACCTTTTAAAAAGACGATTTAGTGTTAAAATCCAAGCCATGGTTCGTGTGCAAGTTACCCAGATGGTTAGAAATTAGAGTTCACTTCATGTTAATGACCGCATTAACACACTCCCCTCTTCCCTTTGGAAATGTTTCTGTGAGTAAATGAGCAGTGCTCGGGGTTGGCTTTCATTGTACTTCACTGTGGTGGTGGTAAGCCTGCTCGAGCATGAGAGATAAGAGGTCTTCGGCGAGCAGCGCTGGACACCCTGCTGTTTGTACACACTGGAAGAGCCAAGTCCCTGAACTGCTGCCATAGAGAATGCCAGGCAAGAGCATTCGCAGCCTTGGCTTAGCACGTAGCAGGAGAACAAGCGAGAGGGTGGCAGGGTCATGGTGGTTTTTCTTCAGGGAGGAGTAGGGGGAAACAGCTTTTGTTCAGGCCTGCTTGATTCCTTTCATCTGTGAGATGGCATTGCCACTTCCCCTGCTCTAGTCGGTGCCCCTTTTATAATAGTTAAAAGTACGCATATGTGCTGACACACACTGCTGCATATCAGCAGCTTATTTGGTAATGGCTAAAGCAAGCAATGGGCTCCTTGTCTTTTGAGAAACTTGCCAAGTGATGGTTTGTTTTGCAAGCGTCGTTCTTAAGTCTCTGTGTCAAAGTGTAGGAGCAGTTACGGCTCTTGAAGGAGTTAATGTGGCTGATGCTGTGGTTGACATGCAGATTTCAGAGTGGTTTTAGATCAATTGCCTTCAAACTTTTTTTTTTTTTTTGAGTTTTTTTATTGGGGAATTGGGGGAAGGGGAACAGACAAGTTGCTGTCCTTTTGTTCTTCAGTCTAGTTGTGGAGGACGTTGCTTCACTGGCCCAAGTTGGCACCATCATTGCGCTCTTCCCGGGCAAGGCAGATCAGTCGCCGGCTTCTGGACGGCCGCTCACAGCGGCTGCTGGCCGCTCACGCTGGCTGCTGGCTACACACAGTAGCCCATGGCAACCCACTGCCACAGGGGCTGCAGCCTACGCCATCGCTGGTGACTCACGGCAGCCCAGCTCCAGGTTGAGCTGTTGTTCAGCATCTTAGCTGTAGAGGGCAGTGTCACTGGCCCTCATATGTGGGATCCGAACCGGGGCCCTCTGGCATCCCAAGCCAGTTCTTAACCATCGCGCCACTCGGCCGGCCCGCCTTCAAACTTTTTTGATGATGACATTTTCTCTTACAATCTTGAACACCCGTATATGTACATAAACTCACAAAAATATCGATTACGCAACTTTTATAAACTAGTGCTTAACCCTCCACTGTGATACAGTCTGATATTTGTTATCTTATTCTGGTTCATGAAAAACATGCCTATCCAGACTCTAGTTGATCTTATCACCTGGGTCATATCCAGAAGTTTGAAAAACATTGCTGTAGATGATTTTGAAGGCAGTAGGGCTTGGTGGAGTGATTCTGATAGACTTCTGTACTTGATTGGTACTTTTGGGCCTGGGAGCTCTCAGAAGCATTCCCCTACTCCTCTTCCCCGGGAAATGAGGACAAGGCTTGGAGAGATGAACCTCTTGCTGCGTAATTCTGGCTGTGGTTCTCCAGAATACTTTGGGGATTCATCAGAGCCAGTAACTGCTGTTTATTTCCTAACCTCCACCTCTCACTCTCTCATTGTACTCCCTCCCCAATCCCACTTCCACCCAGGAATATCTGTTGCAAAAGGGAAGATAGAATATGTAAAATTGCTCTGTATTGCAACCCATGTCTGAAGAGGCAGCATTTAGGGAGATTTTAACAAACTAGAGCTGTCTATTCCAAAAACACTTTGAACATAATTCTAAATGCTTTGAGGACTGCTGACTTGTGAAGCTCAGCCTCTCTCAGTAGGAGGTTCATTGCATTTGTAAATAGATCTGTCTTTTAGAACATAGCTGTGCTGTTTTGTGTGGCAGTATCCTAGAGTTTGAAGAACCTTCTTTTACCATTCAAACAAGCTAATGTTGCATCCTACTTGGAAATATTCAGTTTACAGAATTACTGGTTCTGTGCTCTAATAGATACTTCTTTTTTAGAATTTGATGGTTTTATTAACACAAATATAATGTGCACACAAGCTGTCTATTCATTTTCTTGGCTGTGCAGCCTGGCATTGGGGTTGGTGACGATGGCCGTCTGGGCTGCTCTTTCCACAATGGCTTTGTGGCTCTCTGAGGAGACGCTGTGACACTCTCAGCTTAGTAACTTCACTGCCCATCAGCAGCACTTCAAGCTCCTTGACGCTGTGGACTAGGAGCTCCCGAAAGCCGCTGGCAGCACATGCTTTGTTTTCTTTTCCTCCCATCACCAGTGTTGGGCACCAGGATTGGGCCCCTGAATCTTCTGTGCACCCTATTGTCAGCGCCTCTGGGTTTCTGCCGGTTACACTTAATTGTGACATACCAGTCTGACTCGTGTAGGATTAACTTCTTGGTCCTCTTTTTGATGATCTTGGGCTTCACAAGGGGTCTGACGGTGGCATGATGCCAGGTAGGACATGGTGCCAGCTCTATAGGCAGCACCAAGGGAGAGAGCTGTGATAGTTACTTCTCGTTCCTTATTTCTCTTCTGCATTTTTGCTGTATTTTTTTCTTGTGGTTCCTAGGAGTGTTTCTGGGCCTAGGCCTGAGCGGAATTATTCCTGCCTTGCATTATATCATCTCGGAGGGGTTCCTGAAGGCTGCCACCATAGGACAGATCGGCTGGTTGCTGCTTATGGCCGGCCTCTACATCACAGGAGCTGCCCTTTATGCCGCCCGCATCCCGGAACGCTTCTTTCCTGGCAAGTGTGACATCTGGGTAAGTATGATCGGGTGGTTCTTGTATGTATGTGCACGGCTCTTAGTGCGTTAGTGGCAGACTGGGAAGTGAGGTAATAGAAGAAGTTTTATACTCAAAATCGAGAGTTCTTTATTCTAGTCCTGACTCTCCCTAATAAGCTGTATTTCTCTGAATGATAAGTACAGTAGACATTACATGTATTGAACACTTCGGTGGTGCCTGGCACGATCGGTCCTGAGCGAGCACTTTTCACAGACTACCTCACTTAATTAATTAGCCCTATAAGCCGTAACAACCTTATCAATGTTTTCATTATGCAGATTGGGACATGGGGTTTAGGGATATTATGTAACTTGTCCACTGTGCTTGGCTGTTAAGTGGTTGGAGTAGAATTTGAATCAGGCTAGTCTCATATCAGAATCTAAGCTCCTGTATACTATACTGTACTGGTAAGCCATTTAGTCATTCTTTCCTCATTTATGAAATGAGGGTGATGGACCAGGTTTTTACCAAAGTCCTTTCTGGGACCAGATTTTTACATAGGTCTTTCTGATCACCAAATTGTAGTGATTTGTAACGAGAGATTGAGTGTATATGTGAGTTTGGTTGGAATGGGAGTTAGACATAAGTAGATTATTGTTAATGGTAAGAGAGGAGGAAAGAGAAGGCGAAAGAAAACATAAGGGACCAATAGATGGAAAATTTGGTAACAGAAGACGGCCTGAAACATTTTAAACAGTGCCGAGTTGGAATGCTGTGAGATAGGAAGTCTGACCCATGGAATTCTATTCCTCGGCCTGTTGCTGATTAGTAGAGACTAGGCTGACCATTTAGTTAGTCTCTTCCAAGCTTAGTTTTGCTATCCGTAAAATGAAGATAATGCTTATTTAAGCAATCTTTTGAGCTTCAAATTAGCCAGTTTATCTCTCTGAGATTGCCTCCTCGTAAATTTGACATTGATATGGGGAGATTTTGACCCTTTCCCTCATTTTGGGGAGATGAATTCCCTTTGTCTTCCTAGAAAACATCTCTTTGGATGTGACTTATGGATCCTTCTCGTTTACACTTTTAAAATCAATGTCTTTCCCTTGCTAAGTACTGTTTTGCTGCTGATTTTTTCATTTTGAGACTGTAATGAGAATAGCATGACTTTGCAGCGGTGCTCAAAATGGTGCACTGAGCATTTCATAATCCTTTTTGAGGTATGAACTAGGATTCAACAGAACAGGTTAAATCAGAAATAACATCACGTTTGTAGACCAGCTTCTGACTTGAGAAGGAAGTAAAAGGCCCTGCTGTCCTAGTCATTTGTTGTTCTCATATAATTCCAGCCTCAGAGCTGCAAGAAACTCTAGCCACCATATCTTCTGCCCTTGTACCCAATCCTGGAAATCCCTTTCATTTTCCTAATAGAGAGCAACATTTAAGTTACCAGAGTCCATGACAAAAACGTCCATCAGCAATGAGGAAAATGCCCTCTGTGTAACTTATTCCACTGCTAGGGGTCACAGGATCCTTTGGGGTCTGTTGGCAAGAAGGTCTGCCTACACCATTTGCCTGAGGTCACCAGTACTCCAGTGTTAAGTGTGCATGTTTTCATGGCTAGACCTTAGCGTCATCACCTTGATTTTTTGGGGGACAGCTGGCGTTCAATTCAGCAGAATGTGATATGCCTAATGGAGTTCCAAGACCTGTGGACACCTCGAATCTGAGCTCAGTTACACCGATTCCCTGCTCTCTGCTCAGCATAAATGATCTTAAGAATCTTAGCAGACTCTTAATAATGTATGGATTTCTCTACCCCCACCCTCTTTTTTTGCCTCCAGTTTCACTCTCATCAGCTGTTTCACATCTTTGTGGTTGCTGGCGCTTTTGTTCACTTCCATGGTGTCTCAAACCTCCAGGAGTTCCGTTTCATGATTGGCGGAGGCTGCAGTGAAGAGGATGCACTGTGATACCCACCAGTAGCCAGGGACCATGACCCTGAACCAGGGCCTGCAGCGCTGCAGGCCTCCCCTCATTGGCCTCCGATGCCAGTTCCAGAGAAGCCCCAAAACTCTGACAGCCTCATGGGTTTGGTGACTCCCCAGAGGCTCCACCTGGCACACAACTGAGGAGAGAAAAACAAAAATAAATCATACCTCAAAGGAAGGAGTGCATCAATTGGGAGGAGAAACGGCCCTGAGTGCCGTGTTCTCGGGATTCCCCAATCGAGGGCTCTGCAAGACCCTGGCAACCTGGCTTCTGGTCTGCATCCTGTTTCTGTGTAGAAGATGGAGAAATAGGTCAGCAAGTGGTTCATTCTTCTCCCCTTTCTCTCTTTAAACAATAACACAAACCAATTGAGGCGAACATTTATATCCTATTAAGGGATGGGAGTGTGATTTTAGATGCTCTTTTGGGAGAACAAAGAAATTAATGTAAATAAGATTTCTAACTTACTGTTTAAATAAGAATTTATATAAATGTTTAAAACATAGGGGTAGGGGAGGGAGGGAGAATTTTTGTATAGAAGAAACATGCAAGTACCACACACTGTTTCAATTTTGCACAAAGTGACTGTAGGAGGACCAGGCGATAGCCCCAGAATGTATGATGCCTTGGTGCACACAGGTGCCTTCTAGAGGCTGACACACCTTGGGTCGCGGCGGGGCAGAGAGCACAGCCCCAGCCCAGCGACCACATGACCACTCATGCCCGAGAGGCTGCGGGAGTCCTGAGGTAGAGGGAGAAGGGGTATGTGTTTTCTCAGTGGAAGTCATACGTGAATGGCTAACAGGATGTGTCAGAGGCTAGTTAAGCTGTCCTGTGACTGACTTGTCACTATGCGGGTGGCCCTCTCTAAGGAGAGGCTTTCCCAAGGCACCTGCTTGATAAAGTTAGTTATGCTGGCGAAGGGGTGGTGGAGACAGTGGGAGCGCTCTGGAAATGTCAGCAGGGAAACTGATGTCACTACTTCCTGGCATCCTGTTCAATTTGGTGGTGATTTTATCTGATTGCAGGGATGTGATAGTTTCTCATATCCTTGTTATGGAGCTTTGGAACACTCTGGAAATTTTCCTCTATTAAAATCACTGCCCTAACCACCTTTCCTCCTCCTGGGAATAAAAATTGGCCTTTCTCTGGAATCATAGTTCCTGGCATGGAGCCCCACAAAAGGGATTCTGCCTTGTCCAGGTGCCTCCTGAGCTCACTTCCATAGGTTGGGAGAATGCCCCCTTGGGATTGGGAAAGATGAGTTTCCCCTCTGGTCTACCGTCTTGGTGAGCCTCGGTATGACAGACACATCAGCTCTGCTTGAACAGTAGAACTCATGGAAAGCAGGCCCAATACCCACCATGGAGTTAGCAGCATTCCCTGAACCCCGTTTTAAAGGAATGGTAAGGGGAGAAATTTGAAAAGGAAATTGTATGTTATTGCCAAGGAGTCTGGTAGAATCTTGAAAGCTTATTTGAAGAGCTGCTAGAAGTAAAGGAATGATTGCTTATGTCCCAGAGGTTACCGTTATGGTGTCAAGGAGAGTGGTAGGGAAAGGCTGTGGTTCATAGAATGCTGATCTTGGATCATAGGTGAACCACCCAAATAGCACTTGATTCTTAGGTTACTTACTGTCATCCAAGACTTCAGGTGATTAAGTTACACCCTGGGGATTATGGGCATTAGAACTAGACATTGAGGCCCTAAGTAAGAGGGCTGGCATCCTCGGCTGGGTATTTGGAAGTACAGGAAGGGTGTCCTATGTATTTGGTGTAGGATTTTCTTGGCTCTTTTTCTCTGCTCTCCCCTTCCAATCTCCAGCAAAAGCTGGGGACCAGGAAGAAAGAATCCATTGTAGAACTTGGGAAGAACCTAAGAGTATTTTGGTTCTGGGTAAGGTCACTGCCCTGGGTGCTAGGTGGACCCAGCAAGACTCAGTGCCTGATTGCCGAAAGTACAGTATTACTCCCTGAAGACACAGGCCAGTGGGCAGTGGCTTCTGCAAGGAAGCTCCCTTAGTTGTGTGGAAGCAGCAGCGCCTGTCAGAAACCAGGCTTGTTCTTCGGTCGTGCGCTTTGGGATATGGGGTACAAGATACAACCCTGAAGCATCGCCAACAGAGGTAGCCATCTTTGGGCATTACCCCACACCTCACAGGAGGAGCGGAATCTGGCTCAACATTAGCACAAACCCTTGGGGAAAATGAAATTTCACATCAGCTGTGTAATCCAATAAAAACCTCCCTCTTTCGGGTGTGTGTGTCTGTGTGTGGATGTGAGTGTGCCCCTTTATACGTGTGTGTCTGCACCTCACTACCAACAGCCTCACTGCACTGACTCCTGCAGTGCTCGCTGAGAACTCACCAGGTTGGCGCCTGAATGCCTTACTCTCAGCATCCGAGGCTTGCTTGCTCTGTGCAGATTTTTTATTTTCTTTTTTGGCCCTAGGCTGATTAGGACCTCTGAAGCTTCATTCTATCACCATTAAATAGTGGCCTTTTTCAGTATTTTTCCCTTCCCCTTTATAAATTGCTGAAGCCACAAAGCACATTTTTGGGGATCATAGAAGGTTGGGGTTTCAGAAAGGCATCTGTGCAATGGTTTCATTCACCTGGGATTTCCCTACTTGCTGTATTCTCAACTTCTAATAAAAAAACCCAAAAGGAATATAAAGTTGTTTTTTGTATTTTTTTACTGTCTCAGCTTACCTCCTCATGCCTCTTGACACTTCTTACTTGAAGCCTTTATTTTAACACTGAAGCCTAAGGAATTTTCAGGAACTTCCCAGCCTGAATGCGCAAGTCAAAGTGCTTACACCCAGCTCACTCCCCTCGCCCCTCCCCCCAGCTTTCTGACCAGGTGTAGAATGGAGGGGAGAGCTAACTCCATGGGGGCAGTTCTTAATTTATTATTACAGTTAATAAAAATAATACCTAAGATATGAGCATGTTATGCCAAGGGATCTGTTAGAGCGCTCCTGATATTTCATGATCGTAACCACCACCCTATGAACTGATCAGCTCACATTTCATAAGTGAGAAAACGGAAGCTTAGAAACGCTAAGGTTGATGGCCACCACTCTTGTTAAATAGTCTCGTGTATATTGACCTAAAAGTTTTGGGGATTGTTAACCTTTCTATGTCATTTAAGAAAGAATGGGAATTCCAACCCTTTTGCCTTAGATCAATTTAGTTTTTGCGGGAGAATTTCCGGTATTGGGATAATCTGTCCACTCGGAGTTCTTTTTATTCTTTTCCTTTTTTTTTTTTTTCTAAGATTTTATTGGGGAATTGGGGAAGGGGAACAGCCAAGTTGTCCTTCATTCTTAGTTGTGGAGGGCATGGCTACCTCAGCTCCAAGTCCAGCCATCATCCAGCCTCCTGTTGGCAGCTCGCGGCCGCTCAGCTCAAGGTGCCGAGTTCAATCTTAGTTGTGGTGGGCGTAGCCCATCATCACTTGTGAGAGTCGAACTGGCAATCTTGTTGTTAGGATCATGTGCTCTCACCAGCTGAGCCATCTGCCACTTGTTGACAGCTCAGGTCGGGCGCAGCTCACTGGCCCATGTGGGAATCGAACCGGCGACCTTGCCGCTCAGAGCTTGTGCTCTTAACTGAGCCACTCGGCTGGCCCCCTGAGTTCTCATTTTTAAGTATAGCTAAAACTTAAGGGTTTCCCATATATTAGCTGGGTATAGAACATTGGATGGCATTCTGCTCTCAGGCCTGCAAATAACCCACTTGATCTTTTCCTAATCGTTTGCTATAAGCTGTCTATTTGCTCCCTTTCTCAGGTGAGGTCTGTGGGTATTGTAAAGGAAATAGATGAGGACAGGTTTGAATTTTGACTTTATCGAATACTGGGGCTCTGTCTGGCCTAGGGATGCCTCTGGGCAGTGGTGCCCTAAAAATTACCTCAGGAATAACATCCTTGTCTTAGAATATTTTGCTTCAGTTACAGCACATGCTGTATTTTCCTTCCCTCAGTGGGAATGAACTATGGACCACCACGCCCAGCTATAACTCGGTGAAACAAGGTTAGTCCTGCTCTTGTAGCGTCTGCTCGTGATGTCATGGAGGGGGCTCAGGACCCAGGAAGCAGGCAGTCAAGCTGCAGGACCATGGAAGCCTCTCATTACTGCCCTCCGACTGTCCCTGCTTCCACTATGCTGCCTATATTTGATGAGAGCCCAGTTCTACCAGTTCCTGGTGACAAGATTTCCTCAGCTTGTTTTCTCACCTGTTAAAGCAGCTCATAAAATATCCTTTGCATCTTTCCCTGAGGTGCTCTTACAGATCAGCATTTCTCAAATTTCTCATAGTGATTGGCTGGCATTTATGCCAAACTTGCTCTAATTCCTCCCTTTTGTGGCCTGTGACCCCCCTCCCCCATATTTACGTTTCTGACTTGAAGGTATGTCCACTCCCCTCCCCTTGTGAACCCAAACTGCACTTAGCATTGTGAAGTGGCTGTTGAAGCATTCTACCTGAAAGCACTTCTATTAAAATACACAAAAGTACTAGGTGAATTTAGTAGTTAATATATCCCTGCACTGAGGAAGGAGGGCCTGACGGCAGCCTTGAGGTCTTGGTCATCCAAAGATGTGCAACATTTATAAGAGATTTCAAGATTCTGTACTCCAGACTTGTCATTTATTAAATGACTGGTTTTAACTTTGTTCAAACTTGAAGTCAAGGTGACGGCTCTTTAGCTTTAGCAGGCTGCCACCTGCTGTCCTTGAGTGATTTTGTTAAAAGTAGAGGAAGAATAGTTCTGACCTCCAAGGCAAAACTGCTCTCCCTGGTGAAGAGCAAGGCTAGTTTATCAGGCGGTCATCTGTCCTATTGGTTCTGAAGGGATTTCTAGACCTTACAGTCCACTCCTGGCCACGCGGGAGGGCAGAGGTGTGGGTGTGAGGTGGGCAAACCAGGATCTGCCCCAGCACCTCCTAAGCCTAGCTTTGAATTACATGGCTGAAGTAGTTGCTAATTGCCTGGAAATGCTCTCCCTGATTGGATGGGGAAGAGGAGCCTTTCAAAGCCTACACTGGCTTGTTGTCCTAAAGAGACCAGCAGTCTGGGAGGCTGTGGTTGAGGTCAGATGCAATTGGAGGCCTGAGCACTTACTGCCACAGAGAGGCAGCCACAGAGAGGCAGTGGGTGTCCATGGCCCCTGCAGGGAGGGGCTGGAGCAATGGTTAGGAAGTGCTCACGCTGCCATGCCTGTCACAATGAGGTCTTCCTGACAGGACACGAAGCTCTGAGCCCTGGCAGCCAAGGGGGCCAGAGGATGGGCTCCCCACTGCTTTCTAACTCACCTGTGCCAGGTGGACACATTTGATCTATTGTTCCTGGCATCCAAATTGTAATTTTTTTGTCCCCTCCTCTATGAAACAAAGTAATAATAATAGGCATATATATGAATATCACATTCAAACCACAATACTCTTCCAATAGTTTAGAACCAATTTTCAACTCTGCTTCAGTTTCTTGGTCTATAACATGCGACTAATGCTAGTACCCAATTCAGAGGGATGTTGTGAGATTGAGTTAATACCTATTTACTTGGTACATGTAAACCTTAGCTATTCCTAGTTTTATTCTGCCACTTAAACTGGCTGAGTGAGTGAGCTTGAGTTGGTCTCTGAGGTTCGATTTCTTAAACTGTAACCAGACTGTCATGCCTACCTCACAGGATTGTTGTGAGATGTAAACGGTGGTGGAAGTACCATTGTGTGGTTGATAATATAGGGCATTTTACAAATAACGTAATGGGTTTTATTGAGTTGGCTTTCTCTAGAGAGAAGTGGCCGATTGCTAGTGGGATACTTGTACCTTGAAGTTGTGGCTGGCTGAGAAGGGGTTCCCCCAATGCCTGCTGTCTTTCAGGAGAGGTCTGGGGGAGGGAGGAAATTCCAGGGCCACAAGACCCTGGAGGTGGTGTGCGTGTGGAGTGTGAGTTCCCAGATTTAGCTTCCTTCCCGGTGGACTCTGCTTGGCAAACTGGTTCTCAAAACTTCCATCCCAGGACCAGAGCCAGGTAGTCTCTTTTGTAGATCAGTGGCCAGAAAAAGACCATCATGGGACTTGGCCCTCTTAGGGCCTCAGGAGACCCCTACCCATGCCACTGGGAAGGACTGCTCTTTTCCTGGGACTTCTTGGCTTGGCACAGCTATTCCAACCGCCTCCGCCGAACTCGCATTATCTTCCAGTGCAGCAGCTGTGTATCTCACCCTGTCGGCTTTTTCTTAGAGAGATGCAAAATTTCCTTTGAGTTAGGGCTTTGCAAAGATGTTTTTAGAAGTTTTTTAATAGCAATAGTTTGCAGACATCACATGTAGCCATATTGACGCAAAAGGATTCTGGGTCTTTCCCACTACAGTTCACTTCCCTGCCTTCCCATCTCTCTCTCTCTCTCTCTCTCTCNCTCTCTCTCTCTCTCTCTCTCTCTCTCTCTCTCTCTCTCTCTCTCTCTCTCACACACACACACACACACACACACACACACACACAACTTTTTTGGGCAGCAGAAAGGAAACCGAGCTGCCCCCACCATGCACCTCACTTTCAGGAAGCTGTGTTTCAGGTGGGGGCTTGTTCTTGCCTTTGTCTCATTTCTGCTGTTGGTCTCCATCTGCTCCTCCATCTCAGTACCTTTAAGTCTTTGGGTTCTACTGAAGACCAGCCAGATTCATTAGAAACAGCTGACCTTTTCTTTGGCTGGGTCTGGACTTCTGGAGAATAGATAGAACTAAATTCTTTTGTCTTGGTCCAAGCTGAGCTCATGCTAGACTCCTGGAAAGGAGGAAGGAAGGATGGGAGAATGCCCATGAAGACGGGGTGGGCGGTCGCAGGCTCTCTGGAAGGTCTTGAGAAGCAGTTTCTGGTTCCGTCCAGCCATCTCGGGAAGCAGGGGAACGAGCGCTGATGTGGGTGACAACCCAGCTGCAGTGAGCTGGACCCCACGTCAGTTGCTGACTCTTTAAAATGTCTCTGGAAGGATCACCTTGTCAAAACAGATGTCAGACTGGGTGGGTCATCGCAGCAGCTGGGATGGTAGCACCCAGGCACACACAGGCAGCAGGAGCAGTGGGGGCGAGGCTGGGGTGTCTGAGGTGCCGCCACAGTCCTGGGCGTTCTCCTGCAAACACAGAGCAGAACATGAGAGGGCAGCATTTAAGGTGGCATCCCACTCCAGCCAGAGGAGGCAAGGAGTGGGGAGGGGGCTTTGGGACTAATAGGGGTGAAAAGCTGAGGAAAGAGGGCTGTTCCAGAAAGTGGAGGAAGCACTGCCACCTTTCTTAGGCCCCCTACCCTTTAGGGCACAGGAGAGGCTGTGCACTCAGCCCAAGAGCTGGGCTCAACTTCTCTGCTTGCTCCCAGGCCCCAGTGGCTGTGGGGTCATCCTCAGAATGACTTCAGGGGAGCCATCAACTCAGGGCGCATCTTTGATGTGGATTATTTGTGGTAGCCATTCCCAGCACAGGTGATACTGTGTAAAGCGCCCGGCTGAGGGCCTGCCACATGGTGGGTGCTCAAGAAACTTGGTCACCATGGGCATTATGCACACAATGGTTTCCTCCTGCCCGCCCAGGTCGTTCAGCAGCAGCAGTGAGGACAATGGGGAGGCTGCGTGTTCATCTACTGAGGCCCCACGCGCTGGGAAGTGCGGGCTTGGGCCCTGGCTGACGTAGTATTTGAATATATGTGCATGAATGTATTCATGTGCACGTACATTTCCAGGTGTTCACACATGGATATCTGCAGGCGTGCAGGCACAGTCCCAGAGCCAAGGATTTGGGGGTGAAGACCAAGCCCTCCCCCCTTCCTCTAGCCCCCACCTCTGGATGGAAGGCATGGCAGGAATCCGGTCGCCTGCGGAGCTTCTGGGAGCGCATCCTGTCACACTTGACAGAGGCATTATGTGCAGAGTTCACTGTTAAGGCGAATGCCTCATGACAGGACTGCTTTTGGAGACCAAGTTCTGGAAAAGCCTACCCTTGGTGGGACCAACTGCCTTGCAAGTGGCTTCCAGGGTCAGGAGGCAGCACCCCAGGACCTGGGGGAGGGGTTGGAGAGCAAATAATGATGCTGTCTGGGGGGAGGGTGGGATGCAGGTGGTGAGGGGGCTGGCCTCAGCCTCAAAATGCGAGCTCCTCCATAGCTCCTGCACCTCCTCCCCTTCCTCACCCCACGCATCCTGGAGAGCTGGAAGGATATATTTGACTTCTGTAGCCTCCTGCAGGACCGGCGGGAAGATGCTACAGTCACAGGTGCGGTCTGTCACCAGGAGGAGAAGGTTACTATTGGGAATCTGTTCCATCACAAATATCCTGCAGTAAAGAGAGAGGTGGGGGTCACAGAACTTCTCCATGGAAGGCTTGACATCGGGCTTCCAGGGAAAAACTTCTGGAGACTTCTAGTGTGGATTTGGGGTGGTAGGGGAAGAAATGGAACCATGAGGCAGTTCAGACCAGGGGCAGCTGGGCAGCCGCAGAAATGGTCCTGGGCAACTGACAGTCCTATTGACTTATTTTACCCACGAGCCTTTGCCATTGCGCTGCTCCTTTCCCAGCAGATTGGAGAAGGTGAGGAAGTCCAAACTGGGACATTTTTGAGAGTGGAAGGAGTTGTTATTAATATATGCAGGGACAACAGGCATAAATCAGGACTGTCTCAAACAAATAGGGAGGGATGTGTGGCTATCCTTGCTTTGGGTGAGTGGGGTGGGGACAGGGAAAGATGCAATATCAGTCGTGGCCACAAGGTGGCACAGCGCTCCTGCACTCTGCCCATTGCTCCTGTGAAGGATTACGGAAAGCCTTTTATGCGCAAGGCCTGCTGTATTGCATAATAACAGCTGCCACTTACTGAGCATTTCTTCTGGGGTGGATAATTTTACACACACACACACACACACACATACACACACACACACACACACACACACACACACGCACGCACACACATACGTATATATGTATATATTTAACCTTCGCCACACCATACGAGGTTGTTATTCCATTTGTAGATGGGAAAACTGAGGCTAGTAGAGGCTAAGTAATTGCCGAAGGTTACACATCTAGGAAGTAGCAGAGCCACTTTTTAAACTTAAGACTTTACAGTCTTTGCACCATTTATATCCTCACAAGCCTGAGCTACGTGCACAAGTAACAATAGTCCCAAGAAAACCGCTGTATTAAGGTTAAAACCCTGCCCAACATCACACACTAGTGAGAGATTGTAACGAATGCCTGATGCCAAAGTCAGAGGTGTTAAGTATAAAATAATTTGTGTGGTCTGGAGTCTCTTGGGGACATGCTGAGAAGCACCTGGTGAATGGAGGCTGGCCAAGGGGACACCTTAGATGAGGCCATTGCCCCCTGGCCCAGGACAGAACTTCCTGAGTCGGGAGGGAGCCAGCAGGAGAGAACTTGCACTCAGCCTCCTGCCTCCCTGGGTCAGGGCTTGGCAGAGCTGGGGGATCTAGCAGACTACACGGGAGAAGGAAGGCCTGAGTCGAGGCTGGGCCACACGGGCTCCAGGCCTGGGAGTGGAGCTGCCGTATGTGGGCTGACGATGCTAGCAACCCTTCTCCAGCCCGCCCATCCCTGAGAGCATCTGTAGGCTTTCCCATTCCTCTGAACAGACAGATTTTAAGGGAGAGATGACTTGTTTCTTCCCTCAAATCTACCTTGCCTTCTCGTCTTGCTGATGGAGTTGAGCTTGCATGGCCTGACACTGAGCTGCTATGCAGGCGTGAGAGACAGACACTAAGTTGTGGGATCACTTCTCCTGTCTGGATGTCTCTGGGGCCTGAGTGGGAGGGGTGGACGTGCTGACGTAGGATCTGGCCTCAGGACCACCTTTCCCTAGTCCCCCAAACATAACACCTAGATTGTCCACTGTCCCCAACTGGCCTCCTGCCTCACGCTGCCTGCCTCAGACTGTTGCCTTCACTAAGGAAACAAAGACCTCTGGAGCGTGGCCTTTCACTTAGAGCACCCCTCCTTTCCCCTGCTTTGGAGCTGGCTCCCTGGGGGTGGCCAGGCCCTGCCCTGAGGCTGAGGACAGGCCTAGCTGCGTCAGTTCTTACTTCTGGCAGGCCCCACACTGGATGACCCCGTTGGCTTCCTGGATGGCCCTCTGGTGCACAAACACAGGGTACTCGGTGTCGCAGGGCTGCAGCATGTCCTGCTTCTTGTGCTTGTGGGCTGCAGGGAGACAGGCACGGAGGGGAGAAGGGTCTCACCGAATTGGAAGGGCCTTAGAAGCCATGCCTGCGGGGGCCTCAGCACCAATGCTCCCAGCTCAGGTGCGGCCACCACACAGTGTGATGCCCCCTAGCCCAGTGCAGGTGGCTCCCTGTTAGAAAGCTCTCAGGACATGTGAAGGAGAGATGGGCTGGGAGAAAAACAGGGAGGGAAAAGGATAAATGGAGCAGAGTAGATCACAGTGGAAAGGTCAGCACATGGGCCTCATGGGCCTTGGTGTCAGCTGTGTGCGATTGACACACTAGCCACATGACCATGGGAAAGCCACTTCCTGACTGGGAGCCTGGATCCTCATTGTAAGCTGGGGGGGTGGGGTGGGGGCAGGGAGCCGGGGCGGCAGTACATCATCTAAAAGGCTCCTTTCAGCACTGACATCCAGGGTCTGAGAGGAAAGCAGAGACAGCAAGGGTGCCAAGGTGTGGCTTGTGGGGAGACTTTAGCCTCTTAATCCCATCACCCTCCAATTCATCATGGACAAGATGTTTTCTCAGTTCTAGCTGAGGTGCTCTGTTAGTGCAGGTTCTGGGTGAACCCTGAGTCTGCTCTCTGGTCCCTGCAGCTGGCTGAGAGCAGAGTAGGGAGGGCCGGTGCTTGGCTGCCAGGGGCTGGGCAAGGTGGGGTCCTTAGGGTGCTCAGGCCCCAGCCTTTGGGGCCCTCAGTGCATGTCTGTTGGGTGCACTTGAGCCCACTCAGAAAGGCCCTGGGAGGCTGCCCTGGAGGACCCATGTTCACTCCTGAGAGGAGCAAACAGCACACAGGACCAGCTCACAGGCTGAATGGCATTATTTTTGTTCAAAATAACAGGGCCGTTTTGTTATCACAGCATTCCTATATTCCTATTTCTTCAAGGCACTTTCCACTCCTTTCCTTTTGTTCTCAGGGCCTGTGTGTGAAATAGACAGAGCAGGCAATATCCCCCCATTTGGCAGGTGTGACCTTTTGCAAGGTCACACAAGGCTTAGTAGGGGAGCTATGGTCTGCTTAACTCCCAGACCCAGCGACTTTCCACCAGACCTGATGGCAAGAGGGGAGGCCAGTCTGCAGCCAAGAAGTCCCCACTGGGAGGAAGAACCACAGCGTTCAGCTGGGGGTCCGCACACATGGTCATGTTTTAGCCATGGTCACACTGACCTTCAGCGCTTCTGCTGGGCAGCTCCACTCTCCAGGACCCCTCGGGAGGCGAGAGTGTGCGCTCTGGTTAATGCCTGCAGACGCTTGCCACCTGGCCACCCCCCCCTCCACCACCACCGGGCCCAGGTACACTTGCCTTGTCCCCAGTGGGGCTGGCTCAGGGGGCCTGTCTACCCTGTCAGCTGAGGCACTTTGTGTGGGTAGGTCACCCCAGTGATAATGAGAGAAACCATGCCAACGATAGAGTGAATGGCTTTGGCAAGGTCACACAGCTGGAAGGTGCAGTGGGGCCTGCTCTCAGCCCAGTGCTCTCTCCTGGAGGATGTGGATGATGGGTGGGAAGGAACTCCAGGACAGCTACCCTGAAGATGAGAAATTCTGAACAAGCGGAATGAGGGAGACCATTCTCAGCTTTTGCAAGATGCAGCCGCTGGAGGGGAGCTGTGTCCCCGTGCAGAGGGGAGGAGGGACCTGCTTCTAAATAGGTGGTGACACCTGGTTCCTGGTTCCTGTCACAAACACCAAGTGCCTGTGAACTGCCCCCAGAGCAGTCCTGTGAAGACTGTGGGGTGTGATTTCCAAAAGGAGTCTGGAAACACGACCGGGAATTGGCACGTGAGCTCAGGGTCAAGGACGGCTCCAGGCGCCCATAAGTGGGAGCATAGCCAGAGAGGACAGCAGTGGAAATTATTTTTTTCATCAGGAAGCCAAACTCTGTGAGAAAGGAGGGGCGGAGAGTGCAGCCCAGGCAGTGGAGAAGTGGCAGAACCCATGGAAAACGGTCTATAAACATGGAGGGTTGAGCAAAACCAGTCCTGAGTGGTACGGGAGCCCGGGGCCACTCAGGGAGTGGAAGCCATCAATGTCCCTCTGCATTTCAGGATCGGGTGGCCTCATTCTCCTGGCGGTGTGGTCCAGAGTCACAGCTGGCTGACAGTGAGGACATTTCTTTGCTTTGTGGTCAGGCCTTTGGGGGATACTGTCTTCAGATAGAAGGTCACCGGAGATACATTATCCTAAGAGTGTCCCAGTGATCAGATGAGGCCCCTGCCTGCCACCCCCTCTGCCCGAGAACTGCTGAGAGCTCGAGGACACCTGAGCTGATGGCACCACTATTCGTGCTCCATGGGGTGACCTGGTGGCCGCTCACCTGCATGTGGTCACAGCCACAGGGTCACATCACCCTTCCCTCTTGGAATTGTAAATGTTCTCGCCCGAGGAGGTAGGTGGAGTGTCCCATCCTCCCTGGGATAGGACTGTCCTTGTGTGGGAAGAGGTCTGGGCTACCTCCCCACCCCTCAGGAGTGGGTCTTTGAACTGGGAGAAGCCCCCGAGACAGGTGTGCCCCAGGATGAAAAGAGCTCAGCCCTCCTGAGTGCACCCCTTTAACTGAGAGCTGAGGACGGACCCCTTGCAGCTCTGTGATACCCCACCTGCCCACCTGCTCCGCAGAGGGTGCTACTTACAGTGATGGAAGACAACTTTGGCTGCCCAGGACATGAGGCCCAGCACAGGTTGGGCATAATGTCACACGAGGCCAGGGTGTCACAGGGTGTGAAGTCATATGGGATGAATGATGTCACATGGAGCAGTGGTGTCCCGAGATGCATGATGTCACACACAGAGGTGAAGGGAGCCAGGAGCGAAGGGCAGGTGATGAGAGAAGGCCAAGCAGGATGAGATATGATCTATGAACTCTCTCCAGAGTCCCCAGCCCCTCTGTCTCCCACCCGGAGGTGATAGGCTTTCCACTAGCTTATTGCAATGACGTTCATATCAAACATGCGGTCGAGCAGTCGCATGTGCTCACCCTCGGCCCTGCTGTCTGCATGCCAGGAGCTCCAGGCACTCCACTCCAGCAGGAACCTGTCAGACAGAACTGAATCTCAGAGACCTGAGCGGCTGGAGCACCATGGCCCCAGGTGGTCCCTGGTCCAGCCCCTGTCCTCTAGGACAACTTCCTCCCCACTGAGGGCTCCTGGGTGAACAGACAGGTACCCCTGGCAGCAACACAAAGGAGGAGGCCCCATACACACATGGTTAGTTCCTCCCCAAGACCTCACCCTGCTCCTCTGGGGTCGTGGGGACCTGAGACAGCTCCAGCTCAAAGGGCTCCCTCAGAAGCCACACCTGCGTGAAGTCCCCTAGCCCCCAGCCTCAGCCCCCACTCACAGCAAGAGCTCGTTCATCAGCCATCTGGTCGCAGTCAGAAAGGCAGAGATGGGCTGGGAAAGAGAGGGGACATACCGTGAACCCTAGGCCTGGGGATGGTGCTCCCCTCAGCACCACCATTAGAGACCACAATCCTGGGCCGCCCCCTCCCTCTCCTGCCACCACCCCTACCCTCACCCTTTCCCAGCAAGGGAAGCCTGGAAAGCTGAGTTATCTGGGCTACTGCTATTGCAGGGCAGACATCTTGGGTCAGACATGTCCATCAGGAAGGCTGGGCAAAGCCTCAGCCTGACGAGCCACTTGGTGATGTCTCTGGGATCCCTGATGATCTGTGTGACCACACTCAGAGTGAGGTTACACAAGGAAAGGAGCTACAGTCTACGCTCTCTGCAGAGGCCCCTTATTTCATGAGCTGCCAGAATACTTCCCTGAAGCCCCAAGGGTGAGCCCCGCGGGGCTGGGGTGGGAGGAGGCTGAGTGCAGGGCCCAGGGGTGCAGGCAGAGGTGGGAGAGGACTTTTGGTCAGAGTCAAGAGTGGGGCCAGATGCTTGAAGCTGGTGAGATCAGGGACCAGGTGACCTCATTTTATGGGAGGTGGAGGGCTTGCGGTCCAGGGGAAGGGGTGACACTCACGCTGACCAGGGGCTGGGCGGCACTGTGGTGGTGATTTGGGGGTTTGCACATGGCCTGGTAGTCATACATGGTCACTCTGAAAACCAGAGACAGGATACAGTGAGTCCAGACCATCCCCTGCCCTCCACCCCCTCTGCCCCTGCCGCAGGGTTTTCATTCACCGGGATTCCTGACTGTGCATGAGTTAGGACGAAAAAATCAGAAGACAGCATGTGCCAAAAATTATATTTATGTACTTTGCTTTAAAGAAAACGAATAGCAAATTTGGTTTTCCTTCTAAGGACCCACATGACCTTTTGCCCTTCCCCACCTCATGTCAAGTCCCTGGCTTCAGAAATGTTGCTTTTGGAGCTCTTTGGGGCTCTCACTATGGGTTTTTGAGGTCAGGATCCTGAGGTCTGTCCTGACCACTTAGCATCAGGTTCTGCCTTTTCTGTGGGTATTCACACTGAGGAGAAGCAGGT